GATGGAATGTAGCAGGAACGTAAAACTTGAACTGAGGATGGTTACTGGCTAATTACTGTTGAGTCTGCAGTCTCGTCCCAGTGAGTTGAAAATGGAAATTTCTTGCTGGCACTCAAAACGGGAACTCTGCAGAATCTCGGCTGGGGGCACAGTTGCCATCGTGGGGAATTGTGGGGGATTTGACACGGGAACCAGGCCCCAGGAGGACAGGCAGCCCCCCGTGCTCCTTCTCGCAAGTGCTGCGGTTTGAACAGGATTTGGCTCTGAACTCGTGGAAATGTTTCAACCCCGAGCGTAGCTGACAGTTCAGTCGCTGTACGTGGGGTCCTTGGGGGGAGTTCTAGCAAGAGTGGGCTATAAGCTGAGGTGGCCCAGCCGCCCTCTTTCCTGGCTCCCCACGGCCCTGCCTCCACCTGCCCTCCTGCTCTACCTGCCCTCACGGGGCCACACCCGAGGGGTTGCTCGGCCTTGGACTTGGGTCTCTAAAACTGCTCTGAATTGACCTTTGCTGCCTTCAGCGTTAGTAACCCAGGTGTCTGGTGGTCGTGAATAACAGCGCACACGGGGTCAGGCCTTCCCATCACACCCGCCTCAGACACCGCCCCCTTTGTCCTCCCAGACCACAGCAGGTGCCACACAGGCGCCGTTTGTCTCTCAGGAGCGAGAACTGGGTTTTCTCAGCCTGGCCCAGGGTCCTCCCTGGAGCCTGGAGCCCGTCCTTGTGGCAGCTCGAGGGGACATGAACCACAGACTGGCCCCAGGTGTCTGGGACCCTGACCCGCCTGTCCTAGCCTCACCCCGCCTGTCCTGTGCTCTGTGTGTATGTGGCCCTCACCCTGCCTGTCCTGTGCTCTCTGTATGTATGGTCCTGACCCTGCCTGTTCTATGTCCTGTGTCCTGACCCTGCCTGTCCTGTGTCCTGTGTCCTAACCCTGCCTGTCCTGTGTCCTGTGTCCTGTGTCCTGACCCTGCCTGTCCCAGGTGCTCTTTAGGAGGGAGTACGCTTTCACGGATGTGTGTTTTCCGTCCAGCAGAGAACCACAGGGCCCTCAGTGGTGGTTCACAGCCTCCCTGTCTTTCCCCTCCAACTTCCATGGAGCACCCACTGCTCTTCAGGCCCCGTGCTGGGTCCTGGGGACGGTGGGCTGGATCGGCAAATAGGTCCACGGCACGGGTGAGAGGCAGTGAGCAGCCAAAGTGAGATCAGTGGAAGCCCTCGCGGTTTTTGTCCTTTGTCTCCTTGGCGTATGTATGCGTGTTATCACAGGACCTGCTCCCGGAGGGAGGGCTGCCTCGAAACCTCCACAGACTGACTCATTCTGAGGGACCCACGTGTGGTGCACAGAAAAACCCCGAAGTTTCTGTCTCCCAGAAGCTCCAGGCACACAAGTGCCGCGTCCCAAGGCCTCAGCCCACCAGCACCTGGGGTGTGGGACCCAGGAAGCTGCCCTCCGAGGGGTCCCAGGGCCCTCGCTGAGGGGCGGAGACACAGCCTACTTCCTTCCACAGCAGAGGACCGTAGACCCTGTGGTGTACGGCTCGCCCAGCTGGTTCCTCTGCGAGCTGTGGACCGGATTTTTCCAGGTAGGAAGCTCATCAGCAAATGCGTTCAGAGCTCCGCGGCCTCTGCACAGCCTCCTCGTGTCCCTGGCTGGGTCTGGAGGCCTCTGCTCTCCTCCTGGGCGCCTTCCCCGGGCACCTGCTGTGTGACCGGCACCACTGCCCCCGGCCACCGTCCTCCCCCCAGCAGCGCCCTGACTTCTCTCCCTTTCTCTTTCTTTCAGAGGTGGAGGGCAGAGACCCCCATTCACTGGGCCACTTCCAGCTGCCTGCAGTGCTGGGGCTGGGTCACAGCCAGCGCTGGCAGCCAGGAACCCAGTCCAGGTCTCCCACGTGTGATGGATGCCATCATGCGAGCCACAGCCTACCGCCTCCTTTTACTCCCCTGTGGACTCCCAGACGTCTTGATCCCTGGGCTGAACACCCACTCATGCCCCGGTTGCTTCTGACTGCAGCTCGCAATGACAGGCCCCTCCCTCGCAGCTGGGTCACAACCACCACCACAGCCTCCCTGTTCATTCTCTGTACCTCCCTGCCTGTTACAGACACATGCGAGGGATGCACCTTGTGCTGGGCTCTCCGAGAACTTCTGTGTGGCAGTGGTGAGGGCGGCTGCCGGGAGCTCTCAGCCTTTGGGGGATGGGTGGAAAGCAGTCGGCACGCAGGCTGTGGGGTCCCCAGAGACCCACCACTGTCCCAGCACCAGCAGGGGCCCACGGTTGCTGCGAGTGCTTACCAGGGCCCAGAGCCAGACACGGCTCGTTGTTCCAAGTGGTTTTGTGCTTTGTTCATCGCAATAAAACTCACACTGGTGATGAGAATACACGAGACCTCCCCGACCAAGTGCTGCTGGTGGTGGCTGGACAGGCATGGGCAGGCGTGGACTGGTGTGGGCAGCATGGGCAGGTGTGGACTGGTGTGGGCGTCTGTGAGTTGCCGTGAGCATGGGTGGACAGTCTTAGAGGGTGCGTGTCCCAGGGCAAGCGAGAGCCATCGGGGTTGATGCTCAGTGTCTCCCCCACCTCCACAGCATGGTCCCTGCAGGGAACAGCCTGGTCCTTGAGATGGAGAAATTTCCAGGCTTGGCTCACCATCTGCCCATAGGTTGTTTTAGTTGTAACCGTTTCTGGGCATGGTGTGCTGGTTCCAGGGCACTGGCCCAGCCAGGTTACTCAGGGTTTCCATAGGAATGCGCCTGTGTGTGGACGCCACCCTGCAGCTGGAGGTGGGTGCCACTGCTTGGCGCACGCTCCGGATGGCAGCCCCCGCGGGACGAGGAGCTGCTCCCCCCAGCCCCGGGCCCGGTGCTGCTCTGGGCACCCCCGAGCCTGCCCCTGCAGGCCTCAGACGCGGGGCTCTGCCACTACCAGGCGGCTGCTGTGCCCCGTCCCCTCTTCCTCCCGAGTCTGCGGCTGCGGCAGTGTCTGGCTCCCACCGTCTGGGCTCCGGCACTCACTTCACACGGGACTTGGCTGCTTGTCCGGCAGCTGCCACTCGGGGAGGAGGTGTGCAAGCAGATTCACGGCCTCCGGGCCCTTCTCAGAGCACCGGCCCGTGGGGGCGGGTGGTGCCAGGGCCTCACCTCACGCGGTCCAGAGCTGCCTGCTTTGTTCCAAACAGACCCGTTAATATGAGACAGGTGCTGACTCGGGCAGCCGACAGACTCGTCAGCCATTGTCTTCCTCCCCAGGAGCCCTGGGAAGAACAGCGGCTCTCACAGAGCAGCCGGGACAGGGCTGACGTGGAGGGTGGGTGGTTTCCAACGACTCCGCATGGAATGCTCTCCGTGGTCAGGACTCGTGGTGAGGTTCCTCTGGGTCCCCTTGCAGGTGGTGTCCAGGGTGCGGAACCCATGGCGAGAGAGCACAGGGACTCGGAGGTGTGCTGGCAAGCAGGGCCCCCGTTGGTGTCTACGCGTACGTTCACAGCAGCCCTGCCCCAGGGAGTGACTGACGCACGCCTCGAGGATGGGTGAAGTCATGACTGCCAGTGCTTACCTTATACCGACAGCCAGTGCTTACCTTATACCGACAGCTGGGACCACTACCTTAAAGTTGTACTGGTCACGGACTGGAGGGGTTGCTCTCCCCGGAGACGGGGCTGGTCAGGGCTGGGCGCCTGCGTCCCCCAGGGCACTCTCCGCTACTGCCTGCCCTGGGTTTGCTGGGTGCTGCTTAGGTTCTCAGTTGCCTGGCGATACTCTTGAAGTAAGTTTTCAGGGCTGAGTTATCTCGCTGTGCTTTTCCAGTTCTTGTATTTGAATAATAATCTCCGGATTGGTGTCTCCTCACCCCCTAAGGGAGTACAACTGGACCTGGGAAAGTTCACCCGCAGCTGTGCCTCCAGGGCGGCCTGCAGAGCAGGAGGGCTCCTGAGACGTTTGTGCACGAACAAACGAGGAGATGAAGGGGAGATGTTTTATTTAAGCATTTTCTTTACTTTTTAAATGTTTATTTAATTTATTTGAAAGGCAGAGAGATGATAGTTACATAGATGATACATGCATACACATACACACATACATAGATACATAGGTAGGTAGATAGACAGATAGATACATAGATAGGTAGGTAGATAGATAGATACATAGATACATACATAGGTAGGTAGATAGGTAGGTAGGTAGATAGATACATACACACATACATAGATACATAGATAGGTAGGTAGGTAGATAGATACATAGATACATAGGTAGGTAGATAGATACATACATACATAGGTAGGTAGGTAGATACACACATACATAGATACATAGATAGGCAGGTAGATACATAGATACATACATACATACATAGGTAGGTAGGTAGGTAGATACATACATACATAGATACATAGGTAGGTAGGTAGGTAGATAGATACATAGATACATAGATAGGTAGGTAGGTAGATACATACATACATACATACATACATAGATACATAGATAGGTAGGTAGATAGACAGATACATACATACATACATAGGTAGGTAGATAGATAGATACATAGATATATACATACATACATACATACATAGGTAGCTAGCTAGCTAGCAAGCTAGATATAGCAAGAGACAGAGAGGGAGAGACTCTTCCGTCTGCTTCCCAACCATTTGCAATACACAGGGCCGGACCAGACCAGAGACAAGAGCCAGGAACCCCATCCAGGTCTTTCACGTGTGTGGCAGGGAACCAGGTGCTTGAGGCGTCACCCACTGTGTCCCACCACGTGTTTCAGCAGGAAGCTGGGCCGGACGTGGACGAGGGTATTGAACCTGGGCAATCAGATCTGGGAAATGGGCGTCCACAGTGGCAGCAAGGTCTGACCCGGTCATTTTCTTAGAGTTCTCCAAATTGTACAACATTCAAGCCCCATTCTTAGTAAATTCTTATTAAACTCATCCCTATTAATAATAATTAAAATAAACTTCAAACCTTTCTCTGTTCTCTCTCGAGACAGGACGGCAGATGGAGAGACATAGATACATGATGAAAAACAAGCAGTGGAAGAGGAAAAGACACCAATTATAAAATGCAGGCCTTACCAGGACCCTGGTCAGTAATTGCAGTAAACGCTAACGGTCAGCACACTCTGACGAGGAGGCAGGGGTCGTCAAGGGGCTCAAACAGGACCAGGTTAGGGGCCAGCGCTGTGGTGTAGCAGGTGAAGCTGCCGCCTGCAGTGCCGGCATCCCATGTGGGCGCCGGTTCTAGTCCCGGCTGCTCCACTTCTGACCCAGCTCTCTGCTATGGTCTGAGAAAGCAGTGGAAGATGGACCAAGTGCTTGGGTCCCTGCACCCTCATGGGAGACCTGGAAGAAGCTCCTGGCTTCGGATCAGCACAGCTTTTACCTGTCGCTCCCCCTCTTCGTGGAGGAACGACACAGGACCCTGCGTTGTTCTTTTGTCTGCTTGGCCCTCCCCGGGTTTGCTGCTGGTTCTTCCCGGGTTGGCTACCGTCCCTTCCACCTCCGTGGAAGGGCGGTTCCCCCTGGCCACTTTCCCCACTTCCGCGGGGGAGCAGCACACCGCCGGCCGGCTCTCTCGGGGGCTGCACAGGTGTTCCTTCAGATGTTCCTGGTGCATGTTGTCTCTCTCCTCCTTTATAGTCCTCTTCCACCAATCCCAACTCTGCTACCCACACGCCGAGTACGCTGCTCTCCTCCAATCAGGAGCAGCTCCTGCAGCTTGTCAAGTTGGTGAGAGGCAGCTGGGTAGAAGCTGTTGCCTCCTCTCCCAGCGCCATATTGTGGGAGAGCAGATGCATAGAATAAGTCTTAATTCCAGTAACAGTCTAGTCCGAGTTGCTCCCCACATCTACCATTGCGGCCAATTGGGGAGTGAAACGGTGGATAGAAGACCTCTCTCTCTCTCTCTCTCTCTCTCTCTCTCTCTCTCTCTGCCTCTCCTCTCTGTGTAACTCTCACTAAAAAAAAAAAAAAAATAGACCAGGTTATACGCTGCCTGTAAGAGACACAGTGATGAGAAGGCCAGGCTGAAGGCAAGGGGTGGGCATGGGATGGGGTGGCTGAGTGACCGCAGGTGCCACAAGCTCCCACCCAAGGACCCTGCCAGACACAGGGTGTTTGCACAAGAATAAAATGGTGCTTCACCAGAAAATCACCGTAACTGCCAACGTCCGTGCTCCTAATAGAAGGGTCTCCACGAGCTGAGGTAAAATTGCGGAACTGTAAAGACAGAAATAGATAGTTCTGGAACCAGAGTAAGATTGTTCTTGGAAATGCTGAGGCACAGAGATTGAGACAGAGAGGATCCATCCGTTGGTTCACTCCCCACATGCCCGGCATGGCTGCGGTTGGGCCAGACCATGAGCAGGGGCTTAGCGCTCCATCCGGGTCCCCCACACGACTGGCAGGGACTCAGCTCCCCGAGCCATCACTGCTGCCCCCAGGGTGTGCGTTAGCAGGAAACTGGAATTGGGAGTTGAGCCGGGGCTTGAACCCTGGGGGCTGTGCAATGGGAGGTGGGCCTTCCAGCTGGAGCCATAACCATAGGCCAATCTCCCATTGCCAGGGTAGGTTTTTGACACGCCTCTCTCTCTCAGCAATGATAGAACAACTGTAAAGTCTCTGAGTGACCAGTAGCGCAGAACCACCCTAAACCACAGACCCTCCACTGGGGAGTCTGAGCGTGAGCTGAGAGGCAGACGCTTCCCCACGCCGTGCTGTGGCAGGTCGCGAGGTGTGTACCGTCCCTGCAGGAGCCTCCTTCCCACTCGGAGGGGCCCGCAGCTCTCAAGGCCTCTGCCGCACACAGGGGTCTCCCGTCCTCAGAGACCTGCCCTCGGCAGCCTTCCCAGGAGCTGTGCAGTAGTGAGGCTTTAATGGCTGAGGCCAGGTGGGGACCCCACTCCCGGATGCCTGTGCAGGCCTTGCTGTGTGGCCACTGAGGACTCCCTGTGTGTTTGCCGGCCCAGTAACGCTATAGCACCAAGGTGACTTTAAAAGTGCATCCACTGTTTCAGTTCTGTTCAGTGAGAGGGTAGACCAGGGAACTGAATGCCAGACAAGGACAGCAGGTGGAAGTTGGCAAATGCCTGTCTCTGTACGGTGTTGGCCGCTGCAGCATTGTTCACACGGCAGACAGGCATAGCTACAAAGGCTGAGGAGACCTAACACAGGGGGGCATGCCAGGCAGGTGCGTCCGTAACCCTGAGTGTGGTCACAGACACAGCGCCAGGCAGGTGCTTCCGTAACCCTTGAGTGTGGTCGCAGACACAGCGCCAGGCAGGTGCGTCCGTAACCCCTGAGTGTGGTCACAGACACAGGGCCAGGCAGGGGTGTCCGTAACCCTTGAGTGTGGTCACAGACACAGCGCCAGGCAGGTGCGTCCGTAACCCTTGAGTGTGGTCACAGACACAGGGCCAGGCAGGGGTGTCCATAACCCCTGAGTGTGGTCACAGACACAGGGCCAGGCAGGGGTGTCCGTAACCCTTGAGTGTGGTCACAGACACAGGGCCAGGCAGGGGCGTCCGTAACCCTGAGTGTGGTCACAGACACAGCACCAGGCAGGTGCATCTGTAACCCTGAGTGTGGTCACAGACACAGTGCAAGGCAGGTGCATCTGTAACCCTTGAGTGTGGTCACAGACACAGGGCCAGGCAGGGGTGTCCGTAACCCTGAGTGTGGTCACAGACACAGGGCCAGGCAGAGGCATCCATGACCCTGAGTGTGGTCACAGACACAGGGCCAGGCAGGTGCGTCCACGACTCCCCTGCCCGGAGCTTTGTGGAGGCACGCAGCACCTCCTTGTCTGCCACAGCAGCTGTGTGGTGCCGACTGTTGGGAGGAGTCCCCGGGTTTCTGGGGCCCTGAGCTGGGTTCCTGCGGCGGAAGTGTCCCGCGTCCCCAATCTGCGGGAGGTTCAGGAAGGCGGCCTTTCCCCCTTCCTGCCTCGTCTGTCTGAACCCAGCCCACGACCTCCATGCTGGACCCGAGATGCCTGACCCTGTGTCTGTGAGGGCCTCTGCAATGCTGCCAGAAACTCCTGTCCCAGGATGCCTCACCAGCTCTCGGTTTTTTTTTTTTTTTTTTTTTTTTTTTTTTTTTTTTTTTTTTTTTTTTTTTGCATGGTGAAAATGAATTGGAAAAGCAAATATCACTTCTAAGAGTCACTGCCCGTCCTTTAATTAAACCCACGTCGCCCTGTGGATCTTTACGAACTCTTGCCCGTCCCAGCCACGTGAGGTAGAAAAACGAGCAGCGTGGAAACCACGTCTCCTCCCACGCTTCTCCTGTGGATGTGGCAGATGGAATTGCGGTTGAGTCTGTGTCAGGATCTGAACTTGGCCAAGACTGGTCTCCCGCTACTGCAAAGGCAGTAACGACAACCAGCTGGTGAGGAGCCGAGGCCAGACTTGGAAACACAGGCCTCCCCGTGGCGAGGTCTCGCCCACGGCCCCAGGGCTGCTGTGAGCCCCGCGGTTGGAGCTGGGGCCTGGGGTCCGGGGCCACCTTGGGTTCCGGAGGCCTCTCTGTTGCCCGGGCAACGTGGCCTTCGTCCGCCGAGGTGAGTGTGAGATGGCAGCGGGAGCGTCCAGGAGAGCAGAGAACAGTTTGCTCCAGTGTGGTCTCGGAGGGCCCAAGTAGCAAAGAAGAAAGTCAGTCAAAGTTGAACGTTTTCAGGCCAGTGCATTTCTTAGCCAGAAGATGAACGGAAAACAAAGGACCCTGCCAACTCTCCCTCCAAATGTGCTGTTTCTCAGCTCGGGGAAATTGTGCAGGCTAGCCTGGCCTCACCGCAGGGCCTGACCTGGGAACAGGGAGGGTTGGCAGGTGGCCGGGAGCTCAGCCTCCGGCTGTGGGGCCCCGGCTGCAGGAGGTGGCCTCCCCGCACACCCACCTCCCTTCCCTGCCAGGGCCCCGGGGGGAGTGCTGTGCAACCCCCAGCTGGAGCCTGGGCGCCACGTTCCATACCCTGCTATGAATCTGTGACTTCTAACATCTGTGTGGACAGCAAGTGCTGTATACTCCACGTACACACACACACACGGAGGGGGGAGCGACATAGACTCTAGGAGGGCGTTTTACCATGCACCCTGTAAGATTGTAAGTGCACTGCGTTTTTCGTCTAAGAGCTTCCCATGCCTGACCCCAGGAGAGTGCCACGGGTGCTCTGAGGTTGCGAGTGATAAATGTCTCCCACGATTGAACTCACACAGATTCTTTGAGTGGAAGGAGCATCCTAGCAGCTTGGATCTGTGCTTTTAAATCAAAATGCGGGTCAGGCAGGGTTTCCCCTCTTCCCCCCAGTCTTGAGAGTGGGCCGTGGGGAGAGGGCGTCCCGGGCTCCTCAGTATGCCCTTGACTCTGGCCTCCACAGAAACTCGCTGAGTTTTTGAGTCGGCGGAGGTTTTTGTCTTGAGCTGGTCAGGTATTTCCTGCAACCACTGAGCGACATCTGTAACCGATCGTGCCGGGACCGGGCTGTTCTGCAGCTGCAGGTTCATCCTGTGTGAGTCGTCTTCAGTCTCAGCTTTATCAAGTCCATGTTGTAAATCTTCAGGTAACTTTCCATGTACTTCAGGATGACCCAGACCTCTGCTGGGTTTCCGTGTGTGAGGGAGTGACTGGGCATCGGTCCCGGCTTGCGGCTGAGCTGTCTCTGGGGCTGCGCTGGTCCCTGGGCTGGCTGTAGACCCAAGTGCTAGCTCCAGGGAGAGGCCCTAGAAGGTGCCGGGTTGCTCCTCCCACCGAGGCCCTGCTCTGTGTCGTCACAGGTGAACCTCGGGCCCCCGCCCCCCAAGACATGGACTGGATTCTGCCCAGTCCTGACTCTCGAAGTTGCCTCACCCTGACACTGCTGGGGAAGGACCAGAGAAGAACGTGGTGGGGTGCGGGCCTCCACCCAGCGCTCCTCAGCTTGCTGGCTGTGCCATCTGCAGTGCCGCGGCACACTCCAGACCCTTCCTGCCCCCCCAGGTCCCCTGTGCACAGCCCACACTCCAGACCCTTCCTGCTCCCCCAGGTCCCCTGTGCACAGCCCACACTCCAGACCCTTCCTGCCCCCCCAGGTCCCCTGTGCACAGCCCACACTCCAGACCCTTCCTGCTCCCCCAGGTCCCCTGTACACAGCCCACACTCTAGACCCTTCCTGCTCCCCCAGGTCCCCTGTGCACAGCCCACACTCGGGGAGACCCTTCCTGCTCCCCCAGGTCCCCTGTGCATACCCCACACTCTAGACCCTTCCTGCTCCCCCAGGACCCCTGTGCACAGCCCACACTCTAGACCCATCCTGCCCCCCCAGGTCCCCTGTGCACAGCCCACACTCCAGACCCTTCCTGCTCCCCCAGGTCCCCTGTGCACAGCCCACACTCCAGACCCTTCCTGCTCCCCCAGGACCCCTGTGCACAGCCCACACTCTAGACCCTTCCTGCTCCCCCAGGACCCCTGTGCACAGCCCACACTCTAGACCCTTCCTGCTCCCCCAGGTCCCCTGTGCACAGCCCACACTCCAGACCCTTCCTGCTCCCCCAGGAC